TTAGATCTCATCCCTGGCTACTGGTTCTCTCTCTGCTTCGTTTTTTTTTTTTTTTTTTTAATGCCATGAGCTGAGCAGCTTTCCTCTTTCACACCCATTTGCCATGATGTTCTGCCTCAGGCCCTCAATGGGGTTGGCTGACCATGGACTGAAACTCTAAAATCATGAGCCCAAAATAAACTTTCCTATTCTACATTGCTCATCAGGTATTTTGGTCTCAGTGATGAAAAGCTAACATAATGTTAATGGGAAAAATCATATATATATATATATATATATATATATATATATATATGCATATATGTATAAATCATATACTCCAGTGTCTCCACCTACATACTCTAATATAAACTCCTCAAACTCAATATGTTCCTTAGCTTAACTTTCACACATTAGAAGAATCATAGCTCTAATTTCTTTGGTTCAAGTCTGTGATTCACCTGCCAACTATCATCTTCCCTAGATTCTAACATTTTACATTTTACATGTTGCAAGGTTATAACAGGACTCTTTCTACTTTAAAATTTACTAATCCTATCTTTCCCACCTCAATTCTCTACTCAATTGCTCCAACCAAAAACCTAATATCCCTTCATCCTTCATGAGCAATCCATTCACGTTAACTTTTTAACATTTAATAAATGTTCAGGACAAACTCAAAAACAACGTGTGTGTGTGTGTGTGTGTACAGAACATTCCGAGAAGGATAAAATACGATTGATCATACTTTTCACAATATATTCATACTTTTGAATTTGTGTTCTGTGAATAGATAACCTATTAATTAAATTTAAAAAACAATTTTGTTATGCCTTTTGAAGAGCAAGTAGTAACAGAAGCTGAAAACATGAGTGGGGAGGGTAACTTACATTCCATTCTATACTTTGTGCATTATTACCTTTTTGAAATACTAAAAAACTATAGAAAAATATTTAAATCTATAAAGTTAAACCTATGAATAACTTTAAAAACTTCTTGAAAGCTGTCCTTCCCTGAATAAGTTTCACCATGTCAGCAAGACTCATAAAAAGAAGTTCCTAACCATCAACTACTCCTTTGTCACTTGACAAGCAGATGTGAGGTTTAAAAAGTGTATTATAGTCATCCATACTTGAAATATAAGCAGGATACTCCTATATGCCAGGCAAGTGCGCTACTGCTGAGCCCCAGCCCTAGCCCTGGTGTTGGTATTTTTATTATATCACTGAAAATTAAACAAACAGAAAACCCTCTGGGTATGTGTTCCACACCAACTTTCACTATTTTTAGTCCCTCTTCATAATTTGTACTCAATTACTGTTGAGTTGAATTGTCCCCACCATCCTAAGTTCCCATATTGAAGTTTTAATCTCCCCAGTAACTGAAAATATGATCTTATTTGAAAATAAATTTGTTACTGATACAACTTGTTAAGATCAAGTCATTAAGGTGAGTCCTAATCCAACACAACTAGTGTCCTTAAAAGGGGGAAAATTTGGACAACTTTCATAGAAGGAAGACAGTGTGAAAAGAAACAAGCCATCTACAAGCAATAGATCCTTCCCTCACAGTCCCTTGGAAGTTACCAACCCTGCTTGATTTTGGACTTCTAGCCTCCAGAACTGTAAGACACATTCAATTTCTGTATCTAAGCCACAAAGTTTGTGGCAATTTCTTATGGTAGCCCTAGCAAATTAATACAATTACACATAGAAATGACTTGTAAATGAACAGTCATTTCATATAATTTGCCATTTTAAAAGACTTGAAAATAACTGATACAATACTGTTGTTTTTGAAAACTAAAAATCTTCTAAGAAATGGTGTTTTAGGATATCTACGCAGGTTTCCCTAATTTCTGATACCAAAAAATATTACTCTACAAAAAAATTAGGCAACAGTGTGTTTTTTTCAGACATACTACAAATATAGTCAGATATGTTTGCAAGAAATAAAAATATTTTGCCATTAGTGACTGAGCTTGGAAATCAGTTATCTGAATTTCTTAGATCAGTCAGAGGTTCCCAAAGTTGCAGATATTGAAATAATCTGGCAGAGAAGAGTTATCACTGACTTCTCCCCAGACCTACTCAGTTGTAATATCTAAGGAAGTCTTTAGAAATCTGTAAGATACTTCTTCAGATTTTGTAGTAATGAATCCTATTTTAGTGACAGCTCCTATTCAATCAGGTCACCCCATTCTATATTTGGGCAAGTTCACCTTTTAAGCCAAGTATAACGTTTTCCCCCTATGTGTACTTACTCACCCTTTTTTCTCATGAAATCGCCTTTTAGAGACCAGGTCAGGCATTTTGCTGACCCTATGACACCTAACTTAATAAATGAATGCCTATCCCTAAGTGTTCATTTCCTTATTAAATATCCATTCAACATTAACTATGCAATTTGCAAGTCATATGGTCAGGCATTGGGGGCTGAGGTACATAAACCACCTTCAGACTCCTGAGAGGTATATTAAGCATGTGGAACAATTAGAATGCCAAAGACTTTTTGTGCAATAGAAGACTTCATTGGCAATGAAGAGGGACCAGAAGTTCCCCTGCTTTAGCTATGTGCTCAAGAAGCAGAGGTGTGAATCAGGAAAAATGACTCAAAAGAGTGTTTGAATTTAAAAGTTGCAGGGCAAATATGCAGTGGGCAAGAAAAAAAGAAAAGGATGCTGCCTGGTTGAAGAAGTTGCATGTTCACAGAAATAAACTATAGCCCCTTAGCTATTGAGTACGACTATTACCCAGTTCTATGTGGAGGTATGGAGAAAATAAACCATAGAGAAATATAATGAACTGTGAGAAGCATTTTGTGTCATGTTAAAATGATCTTGTCTTTAATATGATCATGTTTACCTTTTAATACAATCTATCCACTAGGACTGGGAAGAATGGCTGAGGACAAGCCAAGATCATAACAGCTTCTAATACATTGTTTGGAATTGACAAACTCCATAATTTCCTGTATTTTTCTCACCTCTCCCATTCACCATTACAGTTAGAATTTTCACAGCTCAGCAATAACGAAGAAACTGATCAAGAACTTAGTCCTTGGTTTACCTAGACTGAATATTTAATTCTCAGCTTTTCGTTAGCTTTAGAGATTCTTCTTTTAATAACCATGATCAAGAACATAATATCTTCTCTTTCTGTGGTTACCTAGGGCGGCAACTCTTTTCCCCCCATAAATAATTAATAAAACTAAAATTTTTAATAACTTAAAAAATAATTTAAAATTTAAAAATATAATTTAAAAATAATTTAAAAAAATATCTAACAGTAAAGTGCATTTGATTTATACATCAGAAGCTTAGTTTCGAGGACTAGTTTCCTTATCTTTTCATGGCTGTCATGATTGCATCTTAAAAATTCCATTTAATTATGTATGCCTCTGACATACACTATAATGACAAATTACTTCTTATTCAATGTCATCTCAATTTAATCAGCTTTGCTATTTGTTACTTAATGAACCAGAAATATGATCTGGTATAGAGCTAGGAGACTTTTAACTATGATCTAAATTAATGGAATTAAATTATACTCAGTAATTTCACTTAGCATATTTTATTATATAATCTTGATTCATTTAAGTCTCTGTCATTCACATTTCAGCTATCAGGAATAAATACAAAGAATTTTCCTTATTACACTAATTCTGTCTCTTTACAATTTTCTAATGTCCTGTGTGGTTTGGTAAATACCCTTGTGATATAGATATTTTTATCTATGTTTTAAACACTGAGAAACTGAAGTAAAGCAACTAGTAATAAGCAATTTTCAAACACTTCTAAGTCCTGTGCTTTTCATTTCTTAATCCCAGAGTAGAAAAATTTCACATTAGTGAAAGCCACTGGCTCTCAAATGGAAGTGATTTGCCTACACTGGGGGCACATTTTGACAATGTTTGGGGGCACTTTTCATTACCACAATTATAGGAGTAGGAAGTAGGGTGTTACTAGCATCTAGTGGGTAGAAGCCTGAGGTGCTGCTAAATATCCTACAATTTACATTACAAATAGTTCTCTACAACAACAAAAAAAATATCTAGCCAAAAATGTTGGTAGTGCTGAGGCTGAGAAAACCTCATATGAACAAAGCCTTCCTGAAGATGTCTTCTCACAGAAGCATTATTAATATTCCATCCTGGGTTGTCCTGAAATCAGTGTTTAAAGTCAATCAGAATAGCTTAATTTAAACTACAATGAGATGTTGCTATGGTCTGAATGTTTTAGTTATCCCTAAAACTCTTATGTTGAAATCTTAATACTCAATGTGATAGTATTAAGAGATAAGGGCTTTGGGAAAAATCAAGTCAACAAGGGTTCCACCCTTTTAAATTAACATCCTTACATAAGAGACTTGAACCTTCTGAGGACACAGGAAGTGGTGCCATTTTTGAAGGAGTGAGCCAAGCCCCCACCTGACACTTAATCTATGCATGTCTTCCTTTATGATATCATGTATCCCAGCCTCCAGAACTACGAGCAGTAAATTTCTGTTCTTCAGTCAGGCAACGCAGCACAAGCCTGTAGTTCCAGCACCAGCTAGACTGTGGCAGGAGTATTACTTGAGCCCACAAGTTTGAGACCAGCTTGGGCTACACAGTAAAATCCCATCCCAAAAATGGAAAAAAATATTTATGTTATAAATTACCCAGTCCAAGAGATTTTGTTCAATTATGCATTTAATACATAAATGTGTGCTTATTTTTAATTCAGCTGAAAAACTGAATTTACATTATAAATTCTGAAATGACATAACTTTGGAGGGTCCATCTCAAATATATACCATCATATAAAGACACAGGGGTGAGAAAATAAATATGTATATTTGACACATATTCACTGATATATGGTTGTTACAATCTTTATTCTTCCTGTTTAAACGATACATGGGGGCCGGGGAAAGGAAACCTCCATGTAGAAAAGTAGGGAAAAAAAAATAACATATTGAAGCTTTAGTACACATTTTGAAAAGGGCATAATAAAGCCACACCACAAGGCAGAGAACTGCTTTCTTGGTTTTATTTCAAAAGTACACAAGGTCACAAAACTATAAGAGCAAGTTCTTGGTTTTTTAAACAAGTTTTGTTCTTACAAATTTCAAAATCTGCACCATTGGATATGTAAGCCAGAAATTTTAAATACAAAATCTGCAACTGATATTACCAATGCTCTATTTTGCAAATGTGAAGTGTCAAAATAGTTCTCAGTAGTACAAGTGTATTTACCATTAAAATTCACAGTTAGGAACAAGAATAAGTGCATCAGTGAATTGTGGTTCTTTTAATACTTGTGTTGTTAAAACAAGCTGGCAGGAAACAGAGCTCACTCTTCTTTGATGGAACCTTTAGAGTCCATGATGAAAACCAAACCCAACTTATAATCAATGTCTTCTTAAATTACAAAATAGGATACGTATTTTGTAAAATTGGATTTTAATTAATAATAGACCAATGTTAATATCCATAAGATAAATGATCAGCCTTCCCTTAAGAGAAATAAACAGAACCACAATTCACAGAATTTATTTATCGTTCTTCCCTGCTTCTTCTATAACAATTATGAAAGGAGTTTGTGCTCAGTTATAGACTATTTTAGTATTGAAGCAGGCAAATAAGTATGAAATCCTATTGCAGAATATGTTGCCTTTATTACTAGAATATCCAAAGGCATTTGAAATATTAAAACTTGCCCAGAACATTTATACTAGTGAACACGGAAATGTTATAAAGATATATATATATATATATATACACATATATATATATATAATAATGTCACAAGCCACTGAAAATCTAAAATTGTGCCAACATTTTCTACAAACTACTCCATATGTGACACACCAAAGCATTAACCACAAAAAATATGGACTTTTCCTGTTTACACTAGAATAAGGCATCTGAAAGCCCTAAACACTGTTGAAATGAGAATTAGAAAAAAACTATAAACATTCACATGTAACTTCAAACTTACATGCTGCACACACACAAAAAGAGACTGAGAAGTTATTTTAATAAGCCACATATTACAGAATTTGATAGCCAAGTTCATGCAATGAGTTTTTCTTATATTTAATCAAAATGTTTACTTGCCCCTTTACTTGATCCAAATTTCCAGGACCCATTCTAAAATTTTTAAAATTATCTAACAGAAATCAGATATTTCTTTGTATCTGTAATCTATATGGATTTTTAAGTTTTCAATTAACTTCCCCCTATGATACACTCAGGCTGTTTTTCTACTGTAACAAATCCTTGGCAGACAGCTTAAATATAAAGAAAATTTGCCCACAATAACTGGTGAATATAATCAATGAGACTTTTTTTAGGTGGGGAGGCTTTCTAACACTGGTCAATAATAATAAGAATACCTATAAACTACTCCATATTCAAAACACAGAACCATATTAATCCACAATATCGTTTCTCTTCAAATTATCCAATGTAACTTATTTAAAAGATGGTACTAAAGTCTCTCAGGAATAAAGTGGAATCAAACAGTTTTGCTTTGAAGATGCAGTGTTGTCCTTGACTGATATTACTATGCTCTAGTTGAAATAGTTTAATAATTTTTTTTATTGAACTATTTGATCACATGAGTAGTAATTCTAGAATAAATAGTTGATATCTGGTTCAATTAAAATTTAACAGTGAGAATTATTTGGGAAATTACTAGTACTATCTGACCTTTAGATCAAGTGAAATTTACAATAAAAGTAAATAAAGAAAATATTAAGCCTAAAACTGAGCTGGGTCCTCTAAACCTAATCATACCTGAAAGGTTTGTTCAGGTTACACAAGTGATTTTTCACAAGCTTGTTTTTTGGATTACAGTTGCTATGGATCTAAACTAAACTACTTTTTGGAAGAGATTCTGATTTACTTACAGTTAAATCCAATACAGAGTTTAACATAAGGAAAACCTTACACAGGTATACTCTCCATAATAATTTCTACTTTGATTAATAGCATAATTTTCACTATATGAAAATCAGAAATAGGACAGGCCAAAAATCTTTTGTTATTAAAGTCTGTGTTCTGTTTTAGTTTCCTAATATCTTTAAAAAACAAGCCAAATATCTAGCATTCAAAAATAGTTACTGTTTCAAAATCAGAAACACAGTCAAAGAGTATTGGGGATATTAAAAGTTTTTAAATTTTTATGAAGAACACAATTATTGAAGTTACTTTGAAAAAGAAAAGAAAGGAAGAGTCAAGATTCAAAGAATGAGGGTAGAAAGGTGTCACAGTGATGTGTTTTCAGAAACAGTACCTTCACCTCTAAGCACCTTTCAGGTAGGTGATAGCTAGCTCATAGGCACCAGATCATAATAGAAATCAAATTACCCAAAAAGGCACAGATGAAGATGTTAACACAAGTATAAAAAGCAACTTTATGTAAGGTTAAAAATCTACTTAAAATGTTTCCAAATATGTAAAACTGTACACTAATCCATTATGCAGACATTCAGCTGAAGTTTACCATTAAAAAGTATACACAACACTCTTCCTAATTGTGAATACATGCCAACATTAATTCATAATGTAGCATTTACCACCACAGCACCCAAAGAGATTAACAGAAACCAACTCCCTACTAAAATCTAGGGAAAAGGCTTTAGAGCTAATGAAATAATTTATTACAGACCTTATATACTATAAAACTGTTGGCTCATTCTACTATATGCACATTCCCTCACAATCTTAAGGGAAATACAATAAATCCACTTTCTTCTACTTAAACATTATTGAACACATTTGGCAGGCAGGAGTATTCCCTTTACTCCATTTTCTTTTCTTTTAAGAATAAATTGCTTTCACAAAACTTAAGACTCAAATTTTTTCAAAGCTCAACTTGATTTGCTGAAACTACACGATGACATGTTTGGCCACACAACAGCAACTGTACATCCTCCAAAGTCTGCAGTACAGAATTGATGGAGGATCTTTATTTGTGTAAAATGTATTGAATTTCTGAGTCTATGATGAAAATACTCTCCAGGAATTGCATTCAAGAAGGTAAGTATATATAATATGCATCCCAAAACAAAAAATACACCAAAACAAACGAAACACCACTTAAAATTTAGTATCAATAATTAGGGAATTTTCATTTATAACTGTCAAATAATAAATGAATTACAACATTATCTTATTAGAAAAACATCACCTAAAGTGGAGAGCCAGTGTTTAGTTGGACAATGTGAAATACATCTGGATCTGGTCACCACATGCAGATGGCCATAGGCCTCAACGCATCAGACCATTCAACACTTAAAATCTGCCCCTACTATTAGACCAATGGTGCCAACTCTATATGTAGCTGAAGCAAATGTTCTAACTGAATCTGTTGATGCTTCTGTTCTTGAGCATCCAAGAGAGGTTATGATGGCCCTGTTGCCTATAGCAGTCTATCAATTAAAAACCATTTCCTACCCAAGGCTTATGAATAGCTTAGCAGTAAAACTAGTCATTTCTAAAATACTGTAGTGTTTTCCATTATTGGAGATATTCCAAACATCTTTAGCGTTTTCAAAGAGGCTAGAAAAACAAGTATAAACATACATGAGTATTTTTGCCATGGGTATTTCTTTACTAATTTGGGAGACATTGTTGAGTCATAAATAAATGAGACAAACACCTTTAAAATAATGGTAGAAATTATAAATTACCACTTTCAGATGATTCAAGTATCAATCTAGTATGCATGTATGTTTACAAATTTCTTCACCTATGATTTAATATTCAAAGTGCTTATATAATTAATACTCAGATACCTTTGAAATCAACCTCTTTAAAAAAATCCACCTTTTCCAGATGATGAATTTGTCTTTACTAACTATATTAACTTTATTGTTTCAATATAACCAAACAAAACTTTGTGAAGCATATTTCTTACAGTTTCTGGTTAACTTTTTTTTTTTTTTTGAGGCTGGTAACAAAATTTAGACTAGAATAGGTTTTAATATATCAAGAGAAGAAAAGAAACACTGAGAACAAAGAAGAGAGGTAAGAGGCTCTATACTATAGACCCGTCCTTGCTCTGTGCTGGAATCATCACAGGAACCGCTCCCATTCGACTTAGATTAGGGGCAGCTACCTTAGCAGGTGGAAGAGTCGGACTCTGAGGAGTACGTTCAAAGTCTTCGCTTGGTACTTGATTATACTGAGTCTTGGAATATCCTTCCATGTTGGAAGGAGACATGGATCCCAGGGATGAATGATTGCTGCCAATGTAGCTTCTGGCAGTAGATGTTCGGCTCTTTGGAGGAGGCACATCTTCCCTGGAAAGCAGAGTCCACAATGCAAGTTAAATAAACAAGTTTTTAAAAATCTACTGTTGTGTAAGATATGAATCATGAGGAAGGGCCTCTATTTAAATACAAATATATAAAATTTGTGTCACACACAGACACACACACACAAAAACATAACAAGGTATAATGTCATGAACTGTGTATTTGAGCCTAACTGATCCGCTTTATTGATTAAAGAGTGTATAACTTCACAACATGAAATGTGATTTCTACACAAATGTGTATGCTTTTATAAGGCTCTATTTATTAAATCTTGAGTAGCTCCATATTCTAGTTTCTATGATGAAGAGGATCTAATTATAGTGATATAATACTTTCTAAAAGTATTAACACCACAGATATAAATTTTATCCCCTAAAAAAAGGAAAGGGAGGGAAAAAAAACCTTTTGGCTATGAAAGTTGTCTATCTGAAAACCTTGCAGATCTAAATCTGTAAAACCTGGGAATTGAGATTTAAGAATTTTCATATCAACTACCAACAAAGGACATACATCTGAGTAACTTTCAGTGTACTTTAAAAGTATAAGTGCTCAAACCCCACCCCAGACCTACCAAATGAAACTTTAAGGGTGTTAAATTATGTCCTGTATTATTATTTTTTAAGTTCCTATAATCCAATATGTTATCTACTGGTTAGAAAAATAAAATTATACTACCAACAGTTCAACAAACTATCCATATCACTTTATATAATTAGGTCAAACCTCAACTTCTGCTCCATTTCTTAAAACTTCATTCCTGCCATCTTATTGTGAAAAGGCAGGCAAGGTAGTCTTGATATTTTGCAGTAGTTCTCAAAATGGGGTACAAGAAAATCTGGGCAGAGAATAATGAAATATGGTTGGGCCAGTGTATTTGAAATTCAAAGTAAATGCTCTGAAATGTGTTATGGGAGGAGCCAACACTTTCACTCAATTTTCAGAAAGAAATAGCATGCTGCAGATGCTTAAGAGAACTAATTCTTCAGAGATACAGGTGATATAAATCTGTCAGACCCCTCTTTTCATTTAATTACCTGATATCATGGTGAACTTCCTTTTCATATTTTTCTTCTCTGCGCTTTTTACGACAGCAAAAGACGATGAGACTAATGAGCACGAGCGCAAGCAAAATTCCTATGATAGCTCCTGCAATTGTTCCAGCTCTATTTGAAGCTAGAATGAGATGTTAATAAGAATACTTTAAAAAAATCTATTGATATGGAAAATGGGATATATATTTATACTAATTGATTGATTTTGTTGCATATATTAACTTTTAAGAGACAAATTACTTAGCTATTTGTGATCCAGCAGGAAAAATCTATTAAAAGACTTTTCTTCTGAACTGTATATTTCCAGCATAAAAATGGTAAAACCAGACTAAAATAATATTCAAAATTATCTTTGTTGGCATATAAGAATGTTCTAACTGGGCATGCTGGTGCAAACCTGTAACCTCAACTACTTTGGAGGCTGGAGGATCACAAGTTCACGGCCATCCACGAAACTTGGCAAGACTGTCTCGAAATAAAAAAATAAGCTTGGCTGGGAATGTGGCTCTTCTTAACATTATTAAAAAGATGCAGGTTTTATCAATAAAATGTACTTTCCCTCTCCATGGGCTAGAAAAGGTAATAACCCAGCCAAAGTGTGTTCTGATCAAAGTTGGCATCCCCATGCCCTCAATACACCCTTGCTGACAACTAAAGAAGAATGTAAAAAAATAACAAAACAGAAAGATACTTACGAGGGACAACATCTAGGCGAAGCAGGCACTGATCAGAGCCCACTCTGTTTTTGACTGTACAGCTGTATGTCCCAGAGTACTCAGAAGTGGCATTTTTTACAGATATAACAGGTGAAGTCATTTCTATGGTAGAGTCGGGGGGGGGGGGGGGAGAAGAAAAAAAAAACAGTCTTTTTCTTTGCTGTGCTGGGGATGGAACACAGACCTAGGCAAGAGCTCTACCACTGAGCTCCACCCTTACCCACAAGCAAACTCACGTTTACAGTATGTATCACTCTGACCCTTTTAATAAAGTTAAACCCTACCAAGTTTGACAATCCAACTGAAAGGAAGACAGAAAATGCTGGGCGCAAACAAAATGCCCTGAAGCCACATGCACATCTCTAGAATTCAAACAAGCATGCCTGACATTCCTACAGCCAAGGCAAAAGTCTCCACAATCCCTCATTCACAGAGCCTCAGCTAAAGCAAGGGTGCTGGTCTACTGTGCAGCAGTGACAATCCCATTTTGGGTCACATCTGATTATTAAAAAAAGAAACTTATTCCACAATGGCTCTTTCATTCAGCAGGAAAATATGCAAGATCTATTTTATCGCCCTAGATGGAAGAAAAACATACACATGAAAATCAGAAGGCATCATTCACGCAGTTTGGCCTCTATTTAGAAAAAAAAAAAAAAAAGAGAGAGGGGTAGAGAGAAAACCTACTGGAGATCAGAGTGGGGTGGAAAGGAAGAAGGTAGAGCATGGTAATCAGTTTGAACTAATAGGTCAATTATAATAAACAGATGAGCAATCAGAATTAGTCCATTTGTAACTTTCTGGTTTACTGTAGCATCAACATGAATCTAGGCAAAACACTCCAGATCCAACTCTTGCTGTTCTTTAGCCACTAAATAATTTATGGTCATGATCATTTACCACCAATTAAAAATAAAATGTACCAATGTAAGTAATTATAATATTCTAAAAAGTAAAATCATTACAGAAATATTTCTTCATTTATGACACTAGGCTGTCATTATAAAGCACTGAATAATTCCCATGGAAAATTTGTTCTGGACAGAAAAGGGAATTAGTATGTAAATACTCATACAAACCCTACTGGATTTAAGTCCAAATCAGTGGCACATGGTACAGTTTGTATCATCAGCAGTACCTGCTAACCACGAAGTGGGCATTCTCTGGGAGTCAGATAATTTTTGCCATTCATATCGCAATGGAAGTGAACCTTCTTTTGGTTCACATTTTAATTTAAAGTCATTTCCAATTTCTTCTGATCCATCAATGAAACATCTTGTACCTGAAGGCTTAACTAAAAGAAAAAACAAAAGAAATTACAACTTTATACAAGAGAAAGGAAATTATCTTGATAACATGACTTAAAGCACACAGCATGGGGTGTACAACCACTGACTCGTTATCAGTTGGTCCTGGGTTCAGAATTGACAAAAGAATGGAAAGATCACAATAGGCTGTCAGCACAGTTTATCCAGCTCTATCAAACACAAAACAGGTAATAACAAGCTCGGGAAAGCAGCCATTGCATGAGGAGGTCGGGCAACATCTCAGGCGCAGCTTGGTGCCCTCCATTCCATGAGGCACATTTGAAAAAAAAGCAAGGATGATGCGGGCTGGGCCACTTGAGACTCTAGAAAGCTCCCGCTCCCCTCCTTACCTACTCTCCGTCGTGCTTGAAATGTAGCCCTCTTGGAGTATGTGCCAAGTCACATCGCTTGGTGCCGTTACCCGACAATCAGGGGATTTATAATCAATAATGCTGATAACAGGGATAATTCACTTAGTGCAGCAGAGACATTTAACAGTCTATCTTTATATTAGCTCAGATCCATTGAGAGAGCAGTGTTATAAAGGTAAATCAGAGGCTGTCATCTGTATCTCTCTAAGTAACTCTTTAAAGTAGCTGCCAACCCATTACCCCGAACCTGGATTAATACCCTGGCATTACATGCCCTCCTGCTGAATTGCATTAAGGCATAATATTTAAATAATAAAATTAACATGTGTTAGTCATGTGAGTTTATCACATTTAGCAAACTTTATTACATCTATAACTTGGTACCTGTGGAAGAAACTGCTTCCACAACCCAGTGTAGATACCAAAATACTACAATACTCAAGTGCTTTATATAAAATAGCATAGTATTTGCATATAACCTTCCCCTGCAGACTTAAATCATCCCTAGATTATTTATAATATTAATACAATCTAAATACTACATAGTTGTTATAATATATTGATTAAAGAAAAATGACAAGAAAAAACCCATATGCTTTCAAAATTTTCTTCAAATATTTTCAATCCACAGTTGTACAATCTGAGGCTGTGGAAGATACAAAGGGCCAACTGTATACCTAGTCCAATTCTCTCCAAAGACAGTTCCCTCATGCTGACTGTAGTCAATCTCAATTCAAAACCCTGGTCCCAAGGCATCCCCTAATTCGATTTCTATCCTTATAGATTAGTTCTGCTTCTTCTAGAATCATATGAGTGAAGAATAACATTACAGTATGTACTTTTTTATCTTACATCTTTTGTTCAGCATGTTTCTGTGACTGATCCATGTTGTTGGATGTCAGGAGCCATTCTTTGTTACTGCAGATTAGAGTCAATGAATGGCTATAGCACATGAGCTCTTCCATTTACCTGCTAATGAACATGGTTTCCAGTTAGGGGGTTACTGTTTAAGTCTAATTGGCCAAACTGACCAGGGGCAAGTGTGTCATCTGTCAATATCAGAATGACCAGAGAGGAAGGCACTATGAGGCTCTGTGGAATGCTACTTGGCCAGGGGGGATCCTGTGGATTTTAAGGAGACTCAGGAAAACAGCAGCTCTTGATCAGCTGTTTCTGAGGAGCAATTAGAAGTGGGAACCAAATGTGGAATGGATGCTGTCAATGGGTAGGACCCTTCAGTAATTAGCACCCTAGTGGGGGATGTGTACTGCAAAGGGAGTCTGGGAACAACATTAAAAAATCAGTAATTGTCAATATTTTGCTGCTGCTCTATGACCTTGAGAGAAACAGTGTTTCTTGTAAATTCTATAGTTGACTTCATAATTTTTCTTCCCAGCCCAATATCTGCTAGGAATGCTTTTTTTCTTTTTCAGTCTAAGTTGGCTTTCGTTCTTACAGTCCTGGAAGCGTTTTTATTCCTTCGTTACTATGAAGAAAGATGAATGGGGTTTATAGTTTTGCACTATTATGAACACCACTGCTTGAACACTCTAATATTGGCATATATTTTCCTTTTTCTTGGCAACTGCTTGAGTCATATGGTGAGTGTATGTTTAATTCTATAAAAAAGTGCCAAAATATTTCCCAGAGGCAGACAACAGGATGTCATGGTCCCAAGGCATGGGACCATGCCAGTGGGGTATCTTCAAATAAGGTTGTCAATCATGATCAAAATTTCTTACTACTCTTAGCAAATTTGATTTCTCCCTTTTATGTCCCTTTCACTACTCATACTTTTTAATTAATAAGAATCCACAGATGTACTTAACTGCATTATTGATTTTTCTAAAGTGTTTTTTTTTCCAGACTGATCAGTTACTCTAGAGACTATATCCACTGAACTTTTAAATAAGTTTGGTAAATTATTTTACCCTGTGAATCTTCAATGAAATGAGTCTTATTTGTCTTCATTTCTTTGAACTGTCAATGAATCCTTTATTAGAATATACTAACAGAAAATAAGATATTAAAGCAATGTTTTGCATATCAAACAGCTAGCGGTAATACAGTATTAAAACCCTAATTAAAATCCTTATCTTTTCTATGGTAAACTTTCCTCTTTGATATACCAAGACTTCTAATAATAGGTGGCTATTTAAAGTGGCCACTTAGGATATTCAGTGTCTCTGAGACAGTGAATCAAAAAAAAAAAAGATTTTATCAACAGTGGTTTCTGAGCTTTACTTAGGAGTGGCCCAACTCCTTTCTAATGGAGAAGAAAGTCTTCTTTTATGCCAATTCCCAGTCATTACACAACAGGGAGAATTAACTCTTCACACATGATACTCAGTGCTGACATGGAAGAAAGAAAACCACAAAGGCAACACAGTTAATGTCTCGCCCTTTGCGTGTTTCTCTGGTCTAGGCTTCCAGAATACCTGTTCATTGTCCTTGGAACATTTGTCTCCATGATTGTCAGTGTGGCCCTAAGATCACTGTGACCACCAAGTTGCACTTAGCCATAGCATCCCATCAACCTAGTAGTGCTGTGCTCTACACTGGTACTGAATCATCCTCCCATGTTAGTGGCCACCGTAGCCTTCAGGAAATACATTCTAAAGCCCTACATGGGACAAATTACACTTTTATCTTACGTCATCCTTCTAAGAATGCCATTTCTGCTTGATTTAAAAATATCCAGACTCTAGGCAAAAGCCATCAATACATACTAAATTCAATGGGCAAAAATTAAGAGAAACAGGATATTTATTCACAGTCATAGTATCCTTAAGATACATATATCTTAGTATCCTTAAGATAGAATCCTCTATCTATCTACATATATTTTGTATTTTAATCAGAGAGAAAAATAGCAACTTTATGGTGGAGAAACATATCAGATAAAACCTAAACCAAGAAATTATGATTAACAATAACATATGACATCATGTACCCCTTGGCATGACTGGAGGAGATTAAGGAGTCTAAATGCAACATGGATTCTAGACGTCATCTTAGTACAAAAAGGACATTAGTGAAAAACTGTGAAATTCAAATTAGTCTGTATTTTAGTTAATAGTATTGTATCAATGTTAATTTCTGAGTTTGACAATTGCAACATGATTTTGTAAGATATTAAAATTGAGGGAAATTAGATGATGGTTATATTCTCAGAAACTCTCTTGTATTTTCCCAACATCTCTATTAAATAAAAATTATTTCAATTAAAAAGAGTTAGGGAGGCCTGGCCTGTATCAATGGCTTGCAAATCCTCCAGGGCGTTTATGGTCAGAGTTGACTGAACCACTATACAAACTGCCCTGCCTGAGTTGATAGCATGGTGTTGTTTATCGTTTACATCTAGGAGACCATCAGTTATGTTTACTATACTCTTAAACAACTCTTCATATAAAAAGGTCTTCATAAAAGACCTTTCCAGAGCTCCAGGGGAAGGCATTAGTGATATAAGACCACAATATCAACCTTTACCTTTGTGATCATTACCCATTTCCGCTTCTTTACCGTATGAATTTTGGGGCTATCTGAAAAAGCAGGGCAGGCTCTGGTAATGCGGTTAAGTTATAGCAACATGCCACCCTTCAGATCCAGTCAACTAAGTCATGATTCACATGGTTCATGGCCACACAGAATACAGGTTTAGTGAATGAACTACCATTACACCCTGTGAATGTCATGGTGGCAATCCCTTCAGAATCAAAGGATTAATAGGCAGAGCCACCACCAGCAAAGCAAGTGAGAGCTCCTATGTACTACCACTTAGCTGGGTCACTACAGGGCACTTCATTTGTCCACTGCAGAATTTTCAGGCAAAGCTAACAGCTGAGCTTCCTTCTAGTTCTTACTTTCTAGAGAAAACAATTCTGGTGGTTTCTCCCAGCAGAGGTCATGACTCATCTAAAAACATGCAAGAAAGAGTTATGAGAAGTTCCTCTCTGGATCTGTGACAGCCTCATGAGATCACAGCATTAGTCATTCCTGCTTACGTTCAGCTACCACTTCCTTCTCTCTCCTCATATCCCCAACTTACTCCCTCTGGTGATTTGAATTCAAAGGTTACTTGACTATAATAATCCTCCACAAAGCTAACAGGACAGTTAGTGCTTCCCACTTATCCATTCTGAGGAATCAGATGCTGATTCCATAACCAGGTATGATCTGCTTGTATATCGTGAACCAATTAAAAGACCATATTCATCTTAATGCTTCCCAGAGAATAGTAGTGAAAGAAGGTGTGGTCAGAGTTATAATCTCAGATATCTCTAGGCCTAGGATAAGAGTTCAGACCACGGCTAAAGAAACATTCACCTGCTTACACGTTTATTTAAAAAAAAAAAAAAAAAAATAAGGTTACTACATTGTACAAAATACAGACCAAGAAAGCTAGGATTTCCAATGTTACCCCGGACCTTCCTTGGGTTTCTTGTTCAGTTCATCTGCTTTCATACCAAAGGAAACATTTTAACTAGTGCCATTTAGTATAGAATCCTTTTTACCAGGAACCCCTTAGATGCCCACTCAATGAGGCTGCCAGCAGAAGCCCACCTTACCAACCAAGACAATCCCTGTTCTGATACTCATTCTTAAGAAAAGAGCGGGTGTCAAAAGGAGTTTGGCCCCAAACACAACTATTTACTTCTCTATCCTACCCCTAATCAAATCTTTTTTTTTTTTAAATATTTTTTAGTTTTGATGGACCTTTATTTTATTTATTAGTATGTGGTGCCAACAATCAAACCTAGTGCCTCATGCATGCTAGGTAAGCGCTCCACCACTGAACCACAACCCCAGCCCCCCTAACCAGATCTTTAAAACAAAAGAATATGGTAACATTTGACATGGGAAGACACTCTTGATTTTTTATTTTCTGGGTATGCTAAACAATTCTAGCAGTCACCATTTCTTACAAAAAGTAGATCTCCAAATGACATCCAGAACAAAATTAGAGGTCACAGAACAGGAGGACTGACAGGCTCAGAATAGAGAAATGGACAGCTGTATTTTTCTACATGGTAGCCATCATGCATTTTGTGTAAACAAAATTTTACAAGTTTATTTATGCGTTATAATCTGAAATTTCAGAGTTTCTCAATCTGAAGAGATTAACAATGCTTACACACATTATCACAGAATCTGGAGTCTTGGACAGTTTAGAAAGTAACTTACATTCACCTCCTAACCAAACGAACCTCAAGACATTCTAGCAACTGTCTAACTCCTCCACCTGAAGGATGAAAGACATTGATACAGGGGGTTCAAAAAACTACCTGATGTTTAATGGCCCTGCTCTAATTCAGTACTCCTGCTACCATACTGCATTATTCTCCAATTATTCATCATAGAAACCTCATGTATTCTTTGAATAACAAAGGTAAAAACTTTAAAGCACACAGAAATGACTTTGAACTGAATGAGATCTGAGAGATTTAATAATTAAAACTGTAAGGAAATGTGCAGGTTCTATTTAACTATGAGGACAAGGCAAAAAAAACTTTACATCTCTTAACTCCTGGCTTAGGGTTGTCTTAGTCTGTTTTCTGTTGCTGCAACAAAATACTTGAGGCTGGATAATTTATAAAGAAAGGAGGTTTATTAAGCACACACATTTCTGAAAGTTCAAGAGTATGGCATCAGTATCTGCTTGGCTTCTACAGAAGGCCTCATGGCAGAAGGAAAATGGGCATCAGAGGAAAAAAGGAATAGGGAAATGAAGATGACCCATTTAACAACCCACTGTCATGAGAACTAATCCACTACCATAGGGACTACCTGGGGAGTCTCCAAGACCTAATTAACTCTTAAAAGGTCTACTTACCTCTCACACACTGTTACATTAGGAAATTAAGTCTGTGAGTTTTGATGGGACCAACCATATTCAAACCATAGAAGAGTTCTATCTCCTGGCCACAAGATACTTCCACTGATTGATAGATCGACTGACTGACTGACTTGCAGTACTGAGGATCAAACGCAGGGCCTCACATGTGCTAGGCAAGTAATCTCCCACTGAGCTACATCCCCACCCCTTATTTTTAAACTCTTAAGAATTTCACAAGTGGGACACTTCTTATTTTCCTTATCCTAAACAAAGAAAAAAAAAATGAGCAAACAAACCAAAAAAAAACAATACTGGGATTTCTGTCTTAGGCTCTTTGAGAACTAACATCAGAAGTAGTTCAAATGTTTAAAATTGTTACTCTATGAAACTTAAGCTTTGTCTCACATAAATGCTGTGACTACAATACTATAACCACTGACTCTAAAACTAAGTAACCTGTTAACACAAATAAAGCAACTTACCAAGAACTGTCAGCAGAAATTTCTTATTTGCAACCCCAGGAGCTTTTTTCACTTTGCACTGGTATGTGCCGATATCCGACAACTGTAAGTTTGTTACATTTATTGATGCATCACCAGATTTGAGATCACTACTTGTAAAATGTACTCGTCCTTTCAGATCTTGATAGTAGTTATCATATATTTTGTCTCCAGAATATAAAATAATCTAAAAGAAAACCAAAATAAAAACAGGGGGACAAACACCTGAATCATTAAAGGATCTCTGCATACACTATGACATTGTAGGATCCAAGGACAGAAAAAGAAGAAAAACACTGTATTAAGACAAAACTTAACCACCATCCAAATCACAGAATGAGGAAATGGAAAGAGATCAATGGGATCCTTGAATATAGTCCCATGTTCCCATTTTAAATGGAGGAAAGCAGACTCAACATTACTATATAACATACTCCTATGCAAGAAAGAGATTTAGTGAAACTGCACAAGGGTGCAAATTTGTTCCTTCCTATATACTCTATTTTTCCACTGCCTTGAAGGTTACAGTGCATCAGTTTAGGGTACAAATCAAACACATACCACCCCTTCCCCAAAAGATTTATCATAATTTACCTGTAGAATCTAACAAAAAAAGAAAACTATTTTTAATATTAATAGTTAAAAGTACTTGAGGGCTCTAGACTCTAATATACAAAAATCATAAAATAAGGCTGAGATAAGTGGACCCAGGTTAACAGGACCTGGCAATGAATCTTCTGTGACTAAAAGCAAAGACCATTTCCTATTACATTGCATTTTCAGAGCAATGCACTCTTATAGATTTTAACGGGAATCACCAAAAGCTAGATTTAGAAAGAAAATCTGTGTTAAACTTGGTTTAGAAGCAAACTGTGGTAACCAACTCAAATAATCTCTAAAATTAGTTTAAAATATCTCATAATTTTTCACATTATCACATGGAGGAACTAATGAATTCCTTCTTTTGGTCACGTGAGACTCAAGGGCCAGAGAACAGTGAGTGCCAAAACTCAAATAATAATCAAGAAAACAAGTATAACTACCCTGCAAGTAATTTTTTTTTAATCTGAGATGCTGATTATAGGCAGTATAATCAGAATAAAGGCCATTTAAAAATACCTTGTTTATTCTTTAGGAACTTCTTGAATGGAGGAATTTGGATTTTTTTCTGTATTTTTACCTCCCCTACCAAACTGATCCGACCCCTAATCCCTTAAAGATCTTTTATTTATACACCAAGTGTCTGCAACTAGGATGAACTCAAACCAGTTTGCTAAGTAAATATAAAAATCAGGTGAATGGCCCTCAGCTGGCTCATGCTGTAAACACACACCATTACTTTATTTGCTCCATCCTCCTGCCACACCCAGTTGTCAGCAGCAACACTGCGAATCCCACAAATGGACTGCTCTAGCATCCTTTGAATTAAACTACTGGCTTATTTGCTGTGAAAGGCCAAAAAGTTCAATCTATTCTACTTTCAGTAGCTCATTTTGCTACATGCACACTTTAGTAGAAGGGCCTGGCAAACAAGATGTGTCCTCACTGGTAGTTATCTTGTAAACTACCTTAGTATCTTTCCAAGAAGGGGTCACAAAGTGAGGAATTAATATTTATTTACCAGGCAATTTTACATGTCCTCATGTATTAGCCTAAGGAGAGCTAGTGGCTCGCACACACCAACTTCTACCCAGTAACACAGCTAAGATGTAAGCCTGATCTATTTGATGTGGCACAGTACACAACTGACATTTCTGTATCACTTATAAGCCCACAACATGCCTGTGCATACAGTATCTCAAAACAACCTTGAAATGGTAGGTATATCTGTCCCTGTTGCACATATGAAGAAACAGAGGTTTATGTAATATGGGAGGCAGGAAAGGCCAGTGCAATAGATTTTTGAAATAAATGCAGGTGTGACAATAACAGAGACCTAGATTAAAATCTCTACCGTATCGATGGTCACTTATGTGACTCTGCGCAGGTTTCTTCAAATTTCCGGGCCTTTTTCCTCCTTTTCATATGTACAATAATTCTCACTTTAGGGCTAGGGATGTAGCTGCATGGCAGAGCTCATGCACGAGGCCCTGGGTTCAAACCCAGCACAGTGAAAAAAGGGGGGGGGAAACCACAACACGACAGGGCATTGTTTTAAGGCTTAAACAATATAAAGTCACAAACTACATAACAATATTTCGGTCCACCAGAAGTGCATATATACAAAGGTGGTATCATCAGATTATTTCACAGCCATCTCAAGGTTCTCGGAATATATTCTAGATGGGCGGCAACGAAGGACTGTCCAGAGCATATCAAACCCTGCCTTGCATGCAGCTCATGCTAACTGCTAACTGAAGTAACTGCACAGGAGTAAGGATGAAAATCTCTCCAGCCCAGTCCTCCAAATTCTCATCTGTAACCATTGTCTACTAGCTTAAATAAACTGAAATACACGTTCAGCTAACATAATATATACCTGAAATTCTTAATAATTCTTAAATTACTAAGCCTCTTCTCCTGCAATCGCTCTCTAATCCTTCCACTTTTCTTTTAGTCAGATCTTACTGTGTTTTAGGTTTGAGGCTAGGTTTTTAACCCAGAAATGGACACACTAAAGGCCGAGCACCCAATTTCACACCCATCTCACAACTCCTGTGGAGAACAAGGCTGTGTCTGTCACTCAGCCATGAAGAGCTGGGTCTTCCTTCCATGAAGACACTCCAGGCTCAGGTGACACTGTGCTTTAGTCTCTGCACACACCTTGATACAAGCTTCCCACGTGTTGTATGCCTCAGACGAAGCCCCGAAGCCCACACTCTCCTGTCTTGCCCACACCATCAGAGCGGTGGTCTGCCTACCCCAGGCACCTCTCACTATGCCCTGCCTCAAAACCAAATCTCTAGAATTTTCACAAGTTCCTCTTCCTCTCTGAAGCCTTCTTAAAGAAATCTAGTGACTGTCCCCTTCTGTAATCTTAGGACACTTATCCATTCCACTCCATTTCAGAAGTCCTCAGTGTCCACCAGTGTGACCGCCTTCCTCATCTGCACTCAGTTTTTTGAGCAGTTAGGGGCTCTCTTCCCAGCTGCTTACACCCCATCTATGTGATAAGCAGTGATGGACACAGGAGACAGAGGCACAGACATCCACTAGCGAATAAGCACGTATCAGACTCACCACTTGATCCACCTTCTGATTATCGGATGGGGAGAGCAGCCATTCAATATCCAGTGGTCCCTGGTCTTCTGGACTAAGGGTAAATTTGCATGGCAAATATGCAGTTTCCCCTTTGGCTTTTTCAATCGTCTGTTCAGGAGTGGTGATACTCAGACTTCTGGTGAAATCTGTATAAAGAAACACACACAGAACTGAGCATCTGTGATGATTCTGACATATGGCCTTGCAGCCACTGAAGGGAGCACAATGATGTGAGGGACACAGGACAGGGTTTGGGTCCAGAAGGATGGAGCTCAAATTCAGAGGTGCCATCATAAAAATGGAATGACACTATTAATATTACCTGACACCATACAATTCCTTGTAAGAGCACTGTGAACTTTGCAGCATTGTGTAAAAATTTAAAAAGTTTTTACTAACAGAGGGTCTCTACACACCAGCAGATGTTTAAAAATGTATTTGGGCAGAGTATCTGAAAGGTCAGTTATGTCATTCAGATTCAAGGCTACATTAATTCATGTTTGCCAAACTGCAGTGAAGCACTGAGAACTCATTGTTCATGAGGCACAAGCTGATAAATTTTGACACATTTTCTGCCTTCTTTAATTCTAAAATTAAACTCGATTACCCAGTTTCTATTAAATGCTTAAATATTTACAAGCAAGAAATTCCAATGAGGACAATTCAAAATGAAAGGAAACACTTGATTTATACACAGTTATGCACTGCATAACTATTTTAGTCAGGTGGGCTGCATATCTGACAGTGGAGCCATAAGATTATAAGGCAGCTGAAAAATTCCCATTACCTAAAGTATTTTTACTGTACCCTTTCTATGTCTAGCTACACAAACACCATTTTGTCATAATTACCTACGGTATTCAGCACAGCACCATGCTATACAGGTTTATAGCCTAGGAACAGTGGGTACAACATATAGCATGGGTCTACAGTGGACTGTACCTTTCAGATTTATGTAAATGCACTCTTCATACAATGACAAAATCAACTAAGAATGCATTCTCTCATAACATACCTCCATCATTAAATGACCCATCACTAAATTTTTTTAATTTGCCAAATAATTAACTTCAATATTATCTTTAAGACATTTTGTACGGTTCACCCCTTACTATTTCCTTCTAGGAAAGCTACAAATCATATTTAAAAAGACATCTTTAAATCCCATAATGTATTCTGAAATTTGTATTTTACAAAAATTCCATTTACATCCTAATTAAGAGAAAAATCAATGCTAGATGGCAACATTTGAAAAATATGTAAAATAAGATATCCTAAGCTACAAAAAAAATGACCATAAACGTTTTTCCAGTTAGGTTCGTTAAAGAGGTCTTAACCTGCAATTAGGCAAGATCTCACAGTCTCCTCCTTGCTAATATTTATATTATATATATATATATATATATATACACACACACACACACACACACACACACATACATATACACACACACACTATATGATAGTTTGTTACATGTGGACTACATTATTATATATAACTATTATATGTAATAGTTTATTATAATACTGGTATATCTTAGATGCATAAAGTGTAGAAATAAACTATAAACAAAATTATTCTAGTTTTTCATCTATAAGAGAAAAATAGCTCAATAAATTCAGTTCTGTTTTACAAAAGAAAAGTAATTCAATTCACATCAATTTGCACTTAAAAATAGGTGTGCTCAATACCTATCTTCAAACAAGATCAAACATTTGAGCAAGCGATATTTGATTTGAAATACAAATTTAGTCTATCCATGAAATCATATAAAACATGTATTCTTTACTCTTTACAATATGAAAGTATGCACAGCACGAACTGTCACATCTGTGGTTCCTTGTTGATAACCTAACATCTTCTTAAGTATAAACTCAAGCACCTAATGTGTACAGAACCCAAAGTTCCACCATTGTCTGTTATTAAGCAGCACTACCACTTGGACCACCTTGTTGCCTGACACCCACATTCATGGCTGGATGATGAGCTGGGAGCGGCCCTAAGGGATAAGCTGATGGTATGTATGGCTCCCTGCCTCTCTTTCCTTCCTGTCCCCCTGCTTCCACCCATAAAAATAAACACATCTGCTGGGCACGGAGGTGCACTCCTATAATCCCAGTGACTTGGGAGGCTAAGGCAGAGGCATTGCTAGTTCGAGGTCAGTGTGGGCAACTTAGTGAAGTCCTAAATAACTTACTGAGACCCTGTCTCAAAATAAAAAGTAAAAAGTGCTGGGGATATAGCTCAGTGTAAAGTGCCTCTGGGCTCAATTTCCAATACCAAAATAAAATAAAATAAAAAGAGTCTGACCTTGCTTTGATCAATAAACAGATTGTGGTCAGAGTGCTGTGTGAACTGAGACTTCAGTTCTCAAGAGCACTTTCTGTGCTCATCCTTCCCTCCTCCGACCCCAGCCACTACGTATCAAACCACCTGGGAAGGAACTGCAGTCTGACCAACAGCTTCCCCCACCCAAATGTAGCCACCCTAGAACACACAGCCCCAGTTCAGTTCACTATCTGCAGGTCCCACGCATGAGCCCAGTACTTCCAATTCCAGCCTAATCTAGCCGAGCATTGTGCAAGATCAAGAATACATGACTATGAAAGTAAAGCCTCTTAAGATGGGGTTGGCTTGTTATACAGCAAAGATTGATGATACACCATCCAAACCCACTGGTTCAGACCAAATCACTACCAAAAGTCCAAATTACTCCATCTCCTCTTCATACCCACATATCTTTTTAAAATTATGTTACTTTATATTTATGTGTGCAATTGCGAATGTTTCTGAACCAATATTTAAACCTCTGAATTAATCCTTTTTATCACTTCTAATAAACTTAGCTCCATTCCTACCATATTCTCTAGGCATTCATCACTCTCCACCTGACAATGATTTTCTGTCCTTTCTTCTACGAATGCTCACAGTACTTTACAACATCTGGGTCACCTACCTATTTGGCACTTAGCATATGGTTACTTGGATTCTTCTCCCCTCTCCCACATTTATCAATTTTATGGTGAAGTTGACTTTGATTGCATCCAGGGTTTTGTCACATCTCCTAGATGTTGATGAGCTTATCTTCTTCCCATTATCTTCCTACCTTGTCTTCTTAGGAATTGGTTTGCCATTGAATCATTAGCTCCATTAAGGCTGGGAGAAATCATGGATACATCTACCTATTAACGTGGTTCCCTGCATTCAGTGGAAAATAACTGGTAACTAGATTATATAAGTTTGATAAATTTTAAAAATGTTTTCTAAAAGCATTAATATACCATAAGAAATTCCCGCTACTTCAAGTCCTTTTAATAGCTACTAGAATTTACTGCCTGCATTTGTCTAGTATTAATATGTACCAAGTAAGATAAGAATACCATAAGTACACTCCAGAATAAAAACTCCCTTTAAAAATGAATCAAGACATAGTCCAAAAATATGAAGGAAAAAAACCACATAAGTGAGAATGCCAAATTATTATAAATAACAATTAAAACTTCATGGTCACAATATGTTTTTGGAGTTTTCATTTTATAGAAATCAAATAAAAAATTTAAATGACATCGATTAGACATCTAAACGTATAACCATTCAAAGTCTAATTCATGCTCTCAGTATTTAACACTATACAAAGTCATCAGAATAAAATGCAACCTAGTTTGACATTATCTTTCATTCTTTCTTGTTTAACATAGAGAAAATACTTTTATTTTGTACAACCACCTTAAAAAAATATTATATGTGTGTGTGTGAATTTCCCATTGCTGTAATAAAATGCCTGAGATAAACACTTACAAGGAGGAAAGATTTATTCTTATGGTTTTCCATGGTTGCTTTGGGCCTGTGGTGTGGCAAATCATCATGGTGAGAAACACATGGTAGAGCAAAGTTGCTGACTTTATGGTGGCCAAAAAGAGACGAAGGAGCTAAGGTCACAACATGCCCTTCAAGGGCACGCCCCCAGTGACATAACTTCCTTCCATTAGGCTCTGCCTCCTAATGTTTCTACTACTTCCAAACAGCAACAGAGTCTAGCCAAAAAGCTTTCAATTTGTGAAATTATGGGGAACACTCCAGATCCAAACTATAACCGTATCTGGATACAAATCTGTAAAAATATAGGCTGAATTGATTACAGCAATTAGTTTTGAGAGCTGAGATTTTGAGAAAGGGAAATGTCCATTTCTACTTTTTTGTGAAATTTTATTTATATACAGATGACCCTCCACCTGTGGGTTTTGCATCCACAGATTCAACTATTCTTGGATTGAAAATATGTACTTTTTAAAATTACATCTGTACTGAATATGTGCAGACTTTTTTCTTATCCTTATCACCGAAACAGTTTAAAAACTATTTACATAGTATTTGCAGTGTATTAGTTATTATAAGTAATCCAGAGATGATTAGAGTCTACCAGAGGACATGCTTCAGTTACATGCAAATACTATGCCATTTATATAAGAAATATGAGCATGTGTGGGTTTGAAAATCTCCTGAGGGGTCCATTGGACCAAACCCCCACAGATATCGAGAGATAACTATACTGCTTAAGAAATTGTAAACAGATTTTTAGATGATTTTCAGGGTTTCTTTTTCAATGTTTAAAACATTCTACTGCTCTTGTGTTGAACTAAAAATGAATTGAAATCTCAAGATCATGCAAAACAGTTGGGTTTCCTAGCAACAATGAAAGGTCTCTTCTCACAGACACATAGTTTTTTTTTTTTTTTTTTCAACAGTCACTAGTTGTATGAGACAAAGGGCAGACACTTGGTCTCATGTAGTGTCCTGAGGCTTCTTTCCAAATACTGCCCAATTTTATTTGTGCAGCAAATTCAGTGATAATTTAATTTGCAAACCACTTGCAGGTTCAAACATGACTTGAAAACTAAATCAATTATCAAATCTTATATTATTATTCAACCTCACATTCAGAATGTGATGAAATATGTAGCACATACATAAGCTATGTGTATTTTAGAGTCCAGTTAATAAGTGGTTCATATTGGAGTATATAAACAAAGTGAACCACATCCCACATTAGCAATGGTTAAAATAACATCTACTGGTTTTCTACTTGCTTTTTAAAAATCTCAAAATACCAAATCAGTTGGCTCTCTAGAACTACTCTGCTGTCTA